CAAAGAAAACCAAAATGGAACAAAACACATAATAAAACACAAAACGAACTAAAAACTCACGAAATGACGTAAAACGAGGAAAAATGAGGGGAAAAGAAGAACAAAAAATATAACGAAAATGCAACAAAAATGGTACAAACAGAGACCTTGGTGAGTATTTTTGCTGAAAAAGATTGAGGATTTTTGGAGGTTGATTTTTTGCCCAGTCAAAGAGGAGTAGGTATGCAAGGTGTTTAAAAGGGTGTGGGCTTGTTGGACCTCTACTTTAATAAATAAGAGTGTGTCATCCGCAAAGAAAAGGTGTGTCAAATGGGGGCAGTATTTACTGAGCTTAATCCCTTGAAGGTGGCCTCTGCTCACTTCAGTTTTTAATAGGTGAGAGAATATTTCAGTGATCAGGATGAACAGGTAGGGTGACAAGGGGTCACCCTGCCTTATTCCTCTAGTTGGCTTTATATAACCTGTTTCTTCACCATTAAGATTAAAGGAAAAAGAAGTAGTAGTAATGCATTGCATAATCCAATTCACAAACAAGGAGTTAAAACCCAATTTAAGCATGATAATTCTGACACTGTCCCATTCAACACAATCAAAGGCTTTACACATATCTAATTTGATAGCCATATAGCCCTGTTTGCCATGTCTATGATTTTTCAAGAAGTGAATGACTTCATTGGCTAAGATAACATTATCCAGAATTTGCCTATTCACAACGAAAGCAGATTGATTCTCACTGATGCAAAGTGGTAAACAAGGCTTTAATCTGTTTGCAAGAATTTTAGAAATCACCTTATATACCACATTGCAGAGGCTAATTGGTCTGAAATGGCTCACTCTAGAAGGGTTGGGGCTTTTAGGTATGAGGGTTATAAGGGAGTGATTCAAACTTTTCAGGATTTGGCCAGAAGAGAAAAAACTAAGGACTGCTTCACATAAATCATGCTGAATGACATTCCAAAAAGATTGAAAGAAAAGAGCACTCATACCATCAGGCCCAGGGGCCTTTGAGGGATTAATGTTGTACAGGGCTTCTTTGATCTCTTCAATGCTCACTTGTGCAATCAAATCCAAGTTAATGTCTTCAGTAATGACCTCCTCTATGCCCATAAGATGTCTGTCCCCGGTGGTTCTTCCAGTTGAAGTGAACAGCAGTGAGAAGAACTCCTCTATACATCTTGCAATTTCATCTTTGCTCTCACAGCTCTCCCCCTCTTCATTAATTAATCTCAAAATCCTGTTTTTCCTTCTTCTTTGCATTGTTTGGGCATGAAAGTACTTAGAATTCCTATCACCATGCTTTAGCCATGTGATCCTGGATTTTTGCTCCCAGTATTGTTCCTCCAGTCTGTAAGCCTCATTAAGTTCTGTTGTGAGCAGGTCCCAAACTTTCCAATCTCTCAATCCTCCCTGCACTCTCATTTGTTCCAATTTTCTAGATAGCTCTTCAATCTTTTTGGCATTATCAGAAGTGAGGGTAGATTTCCATTTCAGAAGCTCAATTCTAGTGGTTGTTATCTTGGATTTGAGAGAGAACATAGGAGTTCCCAAGTGATGTTGGTCCCACGCTTTAGAAACAGCTTCCATGACCCCTTGCTTTCTCAGCCATCTTTTGTCAAATTGAAATCTTCTTTTTTGATGTTGAATCTCTGGCTGGCTGATTAGAATCAACATGCTGTGGTCTGAGGCGCTTTTGAATATGTTGTTGACTTGAGCTGCAGCATATTTGGAATGCCACTCAAATGACCCAAACCATCTGTCAAGTTTCTCCTCGATAAAGCCTTCAGCGGTTCTGTTGTTGCCCCACGTGAAATGATATCCTTGCCATCCCACCTCCAGCATTGCCATGCTGTGAATGAAATCATTAAATGGCTAGCACGATTGAATTGTTCTTATTCTGCCCCCTTGCTTATCCTCTGGTTGAGTTATATCGTTGAAGTCTCCTGCCATGAACCAAAACTGACCCCACTTCACTTTAGCAGATTGGAGATAAGCCCATTGCTGCATTCTTTCATGCCCATCTGTACTCGCATAGATAAAAATGCCCCAGCAGACAACTCCTTTGATTTCATCCCAAAATTCGACTTCAAGAAAGAGTGCTTAATAATACTGAATATATGTACATAGTTGTCCCAACAGAGATATAAACCTCCACTTCTACCCATAGGTTCCACAGTTGTCCACCACTCTTTGACACCCAGATTCCTACTAACAGTACTAAGAAAATTATTTTTCTTTTTTGTTTCAGATAAGAAGAGAAAAGTTGGATGATGGAGTCTCCAAGCCTCCTTGATCTGGGGAATTGTAGAGGGGCCACCCGCACCTCTACAATTCCACACCGCAGCCTTCATTTATAAACTTGTGGCCTTATAGGGCTGGCCACCACCGCCTCATTAACTTCAGTTTTCAATTTCTTATGCTGTTGCTCATCACTGTCCTCACCCTCAGAAACAAGTGTATTGGCATCATGGAATTCTTCTTTCTGTCTTTTGCCACTGCCTGACCTCAGAGGAGATAAAGATTTATTTTGGGTTCTTTCTTGAGGTCTCCTCTTCCAAATTTTGCCAGTTTTGGTTTTACTCGTATCCATGCTCTGTGATGCAAGGCTGTCGTTCAGGATTATGTTGAGGCTTTGGGATTGGTCTCTTTCTGGGGAGAGAGGTGTTACTGGGGGTATAGCCATATCTGGTTCCATTGGGGTTGGTTCATTTTCATGTGCTATTTGCTGAGTTGGGGGGGGATTGGGTAACAAAGGAAAGAGAGTTGCTTTAGGTTTTTCCATGGGTGTGTGGTTTTGAAAATTAGGCTGATTTAGTTCTTTTGATAGAGTGGAGATGGGTTTGTTCTGGTTTTCAGGCAGGGTTGCTGTACTTTGAGAGCTGAGGTTAGTTGAAAGTGTGTTGATAGGGTTTGTGATTGGGTTTGAGGTTGATGGTGTTGAGTAGTAAATATCTGGTGCCTTGAGCCATTCTCCGTAAAGGCCTTCTTTCATTCTTCCTCCTGATATATCGGCACTTCTTTTTTCACAGGTTTTGTCTCCGTGCCCAAATAAACCACAATAATAGCATATCCCAGCCAATCTTTCATACTTGAAGATAATTTGAGTTTTCTGGTCCTCTAGTTGAATGTTTGTGCACCTAAGAATTGGAAGATTAATATCTAGAGATACCAGAATTCTCACACACTTGCCCGCTAGAACTCCTCCATTTGGGACGTTAACATCCAAGACTCTTTTAAAGACTTTGCCCAGCTTCATTCCCACTTCTGCTGATATACAATGAATCGGCAGGTTCCATGCTTGGACCCAAATTTCTATTTCTTGGAAACATGAGTGATCTGCATTTATGCCAGCAAACCAATCTTTTAGCGAAAGGAATTGATTCTCGAACGTCCAATTGCATCCTTTGCTCACTTTCATCTTATCATCGTTGTCCGAGAACAAGAATTGGAAGAAGTTTGGGCTGAGTTCTTTGACCACCACTGATGATCGGATTTGCCACATTTGATTTATCGCTCGTCTAATGCCTGCTAGGTGCGCTCTCTTTTGTCCAATAATCTTTCCAAAAAGGCTTCTTCCACATTCCACTGCGCTGTGCTTGATGTCCTCAGATTGGATAGGAACAACATCGTTTTCAAGTTCCGTTAGTTGAAATGCTTCCAATTTTGCTGCAATGTCTTCTTCCATTATCGAATTTATGATTGCACAAGTGGCAGAGAAATCGCTGCAAAGAACCCGGAACCCTAGATCTGAAAAGAAAAGAAAAAAACAAAAGGGGACAACTCCCAACAGAAACCCTAAAGGACAGGACAAATAAGACTGCTAAATTGAGATTTAACTCCTCACAATGAAGAAGGATTATACCTGATTCAAGGGGATGAAGTCTCTGAAGAGAGGAATAAGCTCCCATTAGAGAGAGAATTTTTTATGTACTCTGCGCCTTTACACACACACACACTAGCAAATCATTATTGTTAATCATGTCATCAAAATTGATATACTAAATTGCTTCTATCACTTATCTAAAAACAGATCGAAGGCGGCTAAAACGGACATAGTTGGAGACGTGTGATGGCTCAATTATCTATACTAAAATAAATTTATTTATTTATTTTTGGCAAGTCTAATCTCTACTACGAGCTAAATAATGCCACTTTCTCTACAAAAAATTAAGTCATCAACCACGGCACGCATACTTATATTTTAATCCATTATTTCTGTGATATAAAATAAAAATTTAGAAGCTTATTAATTTTACTAAGAATGTCAACATTGTGCGCTTAGATCCGTAGCAATTAATCTAACTACAACCCTAAATGATAAAAATATATAACAAACTAAAGACCATATAATAATAATAATAATAATAATAATAATAATAATAATAATAATAGTCGAAATTCCAAGCACGTACTATCAACAATAATAGTCGTTTAAGCAAAGTCTCGGGTCGAGTTCTTGTGAATGCAGAAAACCTTTATTAGAAGACTCATTCACCATTGCCAGACTTGCGACCTGGGTCGACCAACATATTAGTCGGGACAAAACTCCAAATACCGTGGTTGGCTACCAAAGACAACAATAAAATGTCAAAATTAATCCAATTTTTTTATCACGGAATAATATATGTATCCACACATATATATGAATGCATGTGAATTTGTGATTGGATTACTAAAGTGAGAAAAGGATTCATTTAAAATCCACCTCTCAAAATATCTATTTAATCCAAATAATATTTTTAGCATAGTTATATGACATGTTGTGTTTACGCATATAAATAACGTTACGTAATTATATTTTAAATTGACCAGAAAAAGGCAAGTAGATAGTATAATACAGTAATATACACGTCAGATTTCAAGAAAGTCGGCCAATACACATACATACATGCCCATATATGCAGTATATATACATTCGCATTGTTCATAATTTAGTCATCATCATCATCATAAATTGCTCATTATAAGTTTAAATTATACAGCTAACTCGACCAGAAGAAGATATGGCATTTTGTCCAGGCAAGAAAATTTGATGTATCAATCTACATATATAGTACATTGACACAAAAATACCAAGCCTATTAATTTTGTTTCTTTCTTTTTTTTTTTTGGGCATTGTAGGGAAGAATTCTTGGCCGGAATTGGTGGAGAAAAACGGAGAGGCGGCGGCCAAGGTGATAGAGACGGAAAATCCGAACGTGAATGCAATTGTAGTGAAAGAAGGAACTCCCGTGACTGACGATTTCAGGTGTGATCGTGTTAGGGTTTGGGTTAACGACTGTGGCACCGTGGTTCGTGTTCCAACTATTGGTTAAATGCCAATTAATGGAAAGTGAAAAGGAAAAAAAAAAAATGTGCTTGAGGATATTTATGAAGAATAAATAAGTATCATTGTTGTTGGTGTTAAGTTCAATTGTTTGTAATAAAAGATTTGTGAAAATTATGTACTTTCTGTTATGAATAAGAATAATGTTTCTAATACGTTGGTAAGTAATGTATATGTTTTTATTTCGATTATCAAATTTGTCCTAACATGATAATGATCTCATTATACTTATGATGAAAGCTAGACATGGCCAAAAACCGATTTTCCGTCCAGGCCAAGGGTTGAATGGCCTTGAACTAGCCGGAACATATATATGCACGGGCCGGTTCGGTGAACCGGCAGTTCCGGGTCAGTGCTGTTCATTAAAAAAAATTAAAAATACTAAAAAAAAAAGACTGAATCGTTGGCTCCGGATTCAGTTTGAAACCGGCTCGGCGGTTTCAAAAAGTACATTAATGCGCCCAGAATCGACCTGGGTAAACCACGGGCTTGATTCGAGGACCATTGATTACGAGCTGGTTCAGGTTCAGGCCCAATCGTAAGATCATATAGTTGCATAATATACGGTAACTTAATTTTTATTTCTTTCTTCAAGTGTGCGGGGTTTTGCTTTCTTCTGTTTCCTGAATTTCGAGTGCCAGCTGCGTCACTTTTCATAAACTAGATTAAGGTTATTTCTTCAGTTTTTGTTTTTTTCTTTTTCAGGTAATCATCATTATTAGTTAAGCTTGAATGTTGTTGACTTGTTGTGGATTGAGGTGTCGAGTCGAACCGAGTCGAATAGCTTCCTTTCAAACTCGTGCTCTTTTGATAAAACGAACAGGCTCCGATCAAGCTTGGCTCATTCACACTTGTGAAAGCTCGTTTCGACTCGTTTAACAAACCTAAAACTTTAAACGAATTGTTCGCTAACCAGTTCAGCTCAGGCTGTTCATTTAAAACCATAAAAGAAGGTTACAAACTATTTCACGAACAAGCTCTGCTCATTTAGTAAAACCTAAAAAGAAAGTAACGAGCATTGTTTTTATTATGGAATTTGGAAAATAAATGTACAACAAATAATTGAAAACCTGTTCGGGGTTAGTCTGAGTCGTGAAGTGGTTCTAGCTGTCGAAAAAAAAAAAAAAAAAATCACGGGAGGACAGGCAGCTCGACTTTTGTGAAGGACATGAAACTAACCTGTCCATGCTCAACAACACAGAACTTCACGGGACTCCCATTGCAACGTGCCTCAAGGTTCTCGATTTCTAGTTTGGATGGCGGTCGGTCCCTAAAAAAAATATAAAATAAATACCAACTTATCATTATAGAGAAAAAGCACATAAAGATATAGAGTAAAAAATCAAATTACATCATTCAAACCGAGTCTTTGCAGGATCACCGTAAATTCAAGAGGGTAAAATATTGTTCTCATAAAGATATAGAGGAAAAGCAAGAAAAGTGGACATGAGTAATTTATGTTACGAGTGCTATACAACAAAAGCCGGAATATGTACTAACCAAGTATGAACAAATGGCAATATCAAAGGAAATGTACGTAAAATCTAAAACCCAGCTCAATCTACAGGCAAAAAAATAAGATAAACTAATTCTGAAGATGTGCACTTATTTGACATGCAATGTATCTCTATTAAAATGCTGGAGAATCCGAAAAAAATTTGCTTTACAATCACAGTTAGCCCCCTATAGTATATACACAAGTCAAATTTTTACACGGTTTAACCCAGATTAGGAATGAGTAGAACGAAATTCAAATCATAAATTGTATTAAGAAAAAAAGAATAAAGTCGGTTACCCTGTAAAGCAGAGCACGAACAATGGATTTCCAGGAGAAGACTTTCTAAACTTGCTATTAGGAGGATAAACATCAAATATTGGTCTTGCTTCACCAAAATGCAACTTATCAAGCATTTTAGTGATGTCCAGTTCGATTGTACTTTCTCGTGATTTTACACTCTTCATAGACCAAGGGACAGCATGGCGCCCCACGACATAGCCTAAAAGCTTCAAATGCCGATAGGCTTCAAAAAACTCCCAAGAGAATCCGAGCTTGTTCGTGTCCCCTGCAATCTTTTCATACATACTGCTTAGAGTAATGGGCTCGTTTTCACCATTGATGATACATAATGCACCAATTTCTGCCAAATACCTGCAAAGTAATAAATCTTCAAATACATTTGATCCGAATTCCAGCTTCCTCAAAATAAAATATGAACTAGAATCGGGCGTACAATGTTTCTTCAATCGTGCAGTACGTTTTACCATCACGAATTATCCCAGTTGTGATCCACATTTTACCCTTTTTCTCTACTAACTCAGCCATTCCCAATTCTTCTATCCACAATGCCTTTGACACATCTTTCCTTTCGTTATATCATGTCAATAAAACACAATCGAATTGTTTACGAATTGTTTTACAGATACAAATAAAGCAATAAAAATTACAACTTGTTACCAACAGGGGTTGACTCAAGTGGTAAACAACAGCTTGATGTCGCTTAAGCAAGGTCTCGGTTTCGAGTCCTTGTGGTTGCAGAAAACCCTTGTTGGGAGACTCACCGACTCACCCACCACTGCCAGGTGTGCGACCCGGGTCGACCAACAGATTAGTCGGGACATAGCTCCGGAACCGTGGTTGGCCACCAAAAAAACAATTACGACTTGTTTAACGAGATTTCACCTGAATTGTAACCTGGGTATGTTTTCAGAGGCATAGCAAAGTTCTTCATCGACCGTGTCATCGACAAAACCCTCGAAATCGTCGCTACTGGAATCGTACTTGCCTTCACAAAGGCTTTCAAAGGCCTCAGCTTCCATTGATTTACTTACTGTTGAATAAACAATGAGAAAAGATATACAGAAATCGTCAAGTCACGAAACCTTGGAAACAATGAACAAAACTATTATTATTGGGATTTATAACTTAATAGAGCCATCAAAACGGGCCAAAGCCCGCGGGCCGACACGCCCCCGCCATGCCAAAGGACGAAGCTTGTTAAGAAAGGATCGAAAGAACGAAGACAGAGAAGAGGTTTGAGAGGACAATGGGAGACCTTCGGCCCGGGGACGAGATAAGGAGTTTGTTCGGGTCGTAGTGGGCAAAGCGATATGCAGAAGCTGACCAAAGAAAATGGGCTGTTACAGAATCAGTTGGCTAAGGGAAAAATTTATAACTACTCCTCTTTAACAATAATTTTACATAACAGTTGCAAGTCATACATAATACCTAATTTACTCCAAACATTAGACAAAAATAGGCAGCCAAAAAAAAACCACTCTCTCTCTCTCTCATCCTATAATTTCTCTTATTTT